TAAATATAAATTTTTAAATACATTTATTTCAATGATTTAGTTTAACACTCAGAAATTATATGCCATAAGAAAAGATCAGTATTCGCGAGTTTTTGACAGTTATCACCAGTTTCCATTGCTGATCTACCATTGTTGGAATGCATGCAACACCAAAACTTGTTGAGAATTATAGGATTGCCAAGGATAACATCGAAAATTTTTACTTTTAAACTAGTTACCGTTTTTTCTAAAATTCTTTTTATTAGGATTGAAATAAAAATTAATGGAAAGTTCGTGACTGGAACATCGTCAATTGATGGGAATTTTATCTGTAATTGTTGCTAGAAAGTAATTCTATTGAAAGTCTAAAAATCATCTTAAAAATGAATTATTGGTAAGGTGTTAATTTGTTTCTGTATTTGTTGTTGTAGGTCTACCTAAATATAACCGGCCAAAAAGCTCATTTTCCGGCTGCAAAGATTCTTCAACGATTCTCCCTTCGCCGATATCCACTGCCCAAATGATGTTAATTATAATACCGTTTGGGCAGGGGTACGATGGTCATGATGATGATAATGAGCTTGTAAATGCGGCTTTTTGGATCGCTTTGTGCGTACCGCCGTTGTTCTAACCCGTCTCGCTTTATCCCTATTGTTCGCTTCTCGCTCGCTCTGGCGGTCTTTCTCTCTTGTTATGGCACAGCTAACGGTGCATTGATAAATGAATGCCCAGACACAGACACACACTAATGCATATTTTGTTATTATTATTATTATTAAATTGACCTTTTTTCTGCCGTTTATTTGTGGATTTTGTTGCTAGCTTTTTTCCATACGGTGGCAAGTTTGAACATCGCCTAATGTCCATATTCGTATTCAGATCTGTCAATTTCATCATTATGTGGCGACTGTTGTTTGGCTATTATCTCTAGCGTCTCTTTCGCTCCTTCTCGTGATCCACTATAACGACATTTTTTATTGCAAAATTAGTACGCATTGTTTGGATTGGCTGGGATTGAATATTTTACTACATAGGTATGAACATGTATGATTTATTTACAAAAATTTAAAACAATTGTAGACAAGGTCGGAAGTCTTTGGGCATCTAAAGTCTAGGACTTGACCAGCGTAAACATAGATATCTGTTTGAAAATATACATAAATATCGGACACTATGTACAAAAGTTAAAAAAAAATGAGCAAGTTATCAATTGAATTTTAGATCATCAGGCAAATGTAGTATTTTTTTTAGGTTTTACCGACAGACTTATTTATCCCTCAATTATAATTCAAATATTCAATTAACATAAAATTTCGAAACTTGTATCGATACATACTTAAACAAATAAAGATAATTCGTTGAAAAAACTCTTTTATAAAAACCAATTTAATATCAATGGTCCGCCCCAGGGAACTGTCCGCCCAAGGTAGTTTAAACTATAGATGATTTATTTACGAAAAGTAAAAACAAGCAATCGTAGTTTTAGTGCAAGTACCAAGCCCTGAAAGGAGAAAAAGTGAAAGTAAAGTCGCTATTTCAGCTTCAGCCGGGGAGCTTCGGCAATTACCTAATCATCCGGGGGCTGGGAATGGACCCAACTGCAGCAAAAAGTCGGCTTAATGCGCCATTGTTGCAATACCCCAACATCTCGTATAGCGTTTGATAACTGAAATAAAAGTTAAACCGGGAGCTCGACGGCTAGAGTTGCCAATTTTTTATTTGCCCATTTTCTCTATTATTTCATTTCTGCCTTCATCGAAAAGGGAAACTGGCAAGCACGTAATGTGATTATATTTTTTTTATTTTTATCATTCGAAACAGATAATAAACTAGCGTGGTCAGCCGGACCAGTTGTGTTTGTTTATTAACGATCGCGGGTCAGGTCTCATTTTACAATTGCGAGCTCTCAGCAAATAAAATTATGTCGATTTAATTTTCTCCGCCAGTTACCCGGCTTTTGATAACTTTAGAGAACCGCTGGGTGGTTCAATGAACTTAAGGGCTTGGCCCTTCAATTTATACGGGATTAAGGTATAAAACAAAATAAATAAGTTTCTTTTTTTTACTTAAATTATACAAAAATAAAAACAACCTCATATGAATAATAATTTGCGTATGCAATAAATATTATTGTCCCCGATTTAATTTTAATTTTTCCTGTAAGTGATCGACTTTTGTCTTGTAGTAGGCTATATAGTACATATTCATTCATCATTTCTACTTGACCAGCGCAATTAAGTGTAAGTCGGCAGCTTTTTGGCCTATTGAACCCTCTGGCAATTGAGCAGCTTTTGTGGCATCTCGTTCATTCATTCATAAATTTCCCCTTCCGTTCTCCAGTTTTCATTCTATACCCCTCCCAATTCTGAATATCGTAAACTCATTGATTCACTCAGTTTTACGCCCTGAACTTGGAATTTCAATCGTTTATGTTGAGGTCTCACGCCTACCAAAAAAATTTGCATGAGTTGACTTCGTTTCCGTTAAATCAATCTAAATACTTTCAAAAGATTGTTAATTTATGGGGATACATATATGTATTTTTTTTAGAATTAGAAAATTATATGTTTGGAATATTTTGAATATCTCTTTAATGACAGTTTTAACTACAACAATTACAATTATTTCATACCGTTTGAGTTTAAGGACTTACGACGGCACCGCTTTACTTAATACCTTTTTTTCACTTTACTAATAGTATTTTCATATTTCAATGTATTTTTTAGGTGCTGGTGAGTCTGGCAAGTCGACGATAGTGAAACAGATGAAGATCATCCACGACACCGGCTACTCGCAGGAGGAGTGCGAGGAGTACCGGCGCGTGGTCTTCAGCAATACGGTGCAGAGCCTGATGGTGATCATCCGGGCCATGGGCCGCCTAAAGATCGAGTTTGCCGATCCCGGCAGGACGGACATAGCCCGCCAGTTCTTCACACACGCCTCCGCCGCAGACGAGGGCATCCTGCTGCCGGAGATTGTCCTTCTGATGAAGAAACTTTGGGCGGATGGAGGTGTGCAGCAGAGTTTTGCCCGTTCCCGTGAATATCAGCTGAATGACTCGGCGGGCTATTACCTCAACTCGTTGGACCGCATCGCGCAACCGAACTATATACCCACCCAGCAGGATGTGCTCCGAACGCGTGTTAAGACCACTGGCATTATCGAGACGCACTTCTCCTGTAAACAGCTGCATTTTAAGTGAGTTTGGGATTGCTCTTCCATTCCTTTTTTATGTGATTCCAATTTATCTATTTTTGCAGACTATTCGACGTGGGCGGACAGCGATCGGAGCGCAAGAAATGGATTCATTGCTTTGAGGGCGTTACGGCCATTATCTTCTGCGTAGCGCTATCAGGTAAGACCGATATCTATTTCTTAGCGTATGTTCTTTATAACAATATATTCTAGTTGAAGTATCGATATGAACTGTACCTAATAAAAAATATATTAAAAAAGTTTAATATAATGGATAATATATAATAATTAAAATATGTAAATATATATAATATAATATATTTTTATTAGCTTAAATAACACAAATCTTCGAATATATGTATATATACAGTATGAAAATAACTAAATACAATTAATAATTTAATTTGGGAGATCAAATATAAAAAGTGAAAATAAATAAGAAAACATTTTAAAAACATTTAAGTAATTTATATATCACTTTATAGGCTACGATTTGGTGTTGGCCGAGGACGAAGAGATGAATCGCATGATCGAGTCCCTAAAGCTGTTTGACTCCATCTGCAACTCCAAGTGGTTCGTGGAAACCTCCATTATTCTTTTCCTCAACAAAAAGGATCTGTTTGAGGAGAAGATCAAGCGATCTCCCCTGACGATATGCTTCCCGGAGTACACAGGTACAATAACAGTTTAATGTAATTCAATGTCATTTATTAATTATTAACGAACTCTTTTAGGTACCAATACCTTTGAGGAGGCGGCCAACTATATCCGCATGAAGTTTGAAAATCTCAACAAGCGGAAAGACCAAAAGGAGATATACACGCATCTCACCTGCGCCACGGATACAAATAACGTTAAGTTCGTCTTCGATGCCGTCACCGATGTGATCATCAAGAACAATCTGAAACAAATTGGCCTATTTTAAGGGACCGCGGATCATAAGATCATCATTATTTAGTATGCGTCGTAGTATTAAAGGAAAACGCGCATCAACATTTCCATTACACGTTAAGAACTCGATACATTTACGCTCTAACTATACTTAATCGTATGCTCCATATATGTTTTAAATGCTTTACATGCTTGACCCACGTAATTTTAATAACCGATTTGGTTGCCAGTAGTCGCGGAACATATAACCAACTGCAATTTAGTTAACCGTGTCCATTAAATTGCACTTTTAAGTTAACTAATTTAAACATATTAGCCTAACAAATGTAAAGTACGCAAAGGACAGCCGATGATTTTTGTATATCCTATCCCCTGAATTCGATCGGCTCTCTTTGGGGTTAAGTTAAGTTCCGCGGGCTAATGGCGATTCCCAAAAGACGCACCTCGAGATCGCATCGTGTAGTGGTGCCCTTTTGAGCCTCGCCATTTGCTGGACGCTTTGTAGCCCTGGCGCTGCTTCGCCTTTTATTTTTTTGCCAAGAGCTTGACAGCGTTATTTAAGGTGAACCTAGGCCTGGAGTTGTAAGCCCTAAAATGTAACTAGTAAACTTACTAATATGTTTAGTAATAGCTTAAATAAAAGACAATTTATGAAAAACTCAAGTCATTGTTTTTCTATGCGGCCAATGATGCCCATCATTATTGAAAAAATTGGTTGCACCTCAGCTAAATATATTATGTCACATTTAACGAATTCAAAAATATCGAAGTGCCTTAAAATTTGTGTCTGAAATATATATAAGAAAAAGATTCAAATAGATATTTTTTCGGTTTTTTTGGGTTCTAAACTCTAAAAAAGGGATTTTCTTCGGAAAGAGATTCAACCCTGGCTGTCGATAAGCAAAGATGGCTTCATTTTTATCTTGAAGCTGTCAGTCATTTTGGATTGTGTTCGTTTGTTGAAATTGTCACTTAGTGAATAACTTGAAATCTGTATTCGCCGCAAAAAAAAAACTTGGAAAATGATTCGCGCAATGTTATTTACCAAATGGAATCGGTCGGTGGCAGGATCACTGGTCAATTACTGGGGTAAGTGAAGAGCACGTGGAACTACATATGTAGAAACTGGACACTAAATTCCTTTTTACGTCTCAAAGATAACTCCACTTTGAAGCTTTTGAGTGGCAATAAAGCATATCCCCGTGCTGTGATCCTGAACCCAGCACGCTGCTTTTCTGTTGGAGGTGGCGATGATGACAAACCCAAAACCACGCCTCCTGGTTTTGTGGCTCCCGGCTCCACTGGTAAATCCTCCCCATTTAACGCTGGTATCCTCGGAAGCAGCACCTTGGGAAATAAACCAAAAAACACCACCCAGAAAGATTTGACAACATCAGAGGTTCAGTCGCCACCCGTTTCAATAGTCACCTCTGGCGGAAAACTTGGCAGAGTCGATCCTCTGGACACCATCGTCCGCAGCAAGGCCACCGAAGAAAGTTCCGGATCCTCAAATGAGGATAAGAAGAGCGAGGCCCAGAAAAAGGCAGCAGAGGCCAAGGAAGCGGCTGCCAAGCAGTTGCAGGACATCATGGCCAATATGCCTAGCAAGCAACAGACTGAAAAATACTTCTTTCGCGTTGTGGCCTTCATTTATGACTTGTCCTACCTCACCGCCACCTGGCTGCTGAATTTTATCGAACACAATATCGTTCGGAACGCCAAGGTTCAGTACTACTGGAAGAGATTCCATGAGAAAATGGAGCAGGCCAAGAAGGATTAACTCCCAGCGGAGTACAAATTTATATTATACAACTCATGCGAAAGCAAAAAAATAAAACAAATCGCTGACGAATCGAAAGTTCCGGCTGACTTTTCAGATTGGTGTTGAGGTGTAGCCTTCCAGCAGTTTAGCCAAGAATTTGAGGATCTTATTACGAGCAATCACCAGTTGGGGCGGATCGGTTTTCACCGGCTCGTACATATTGGCGCAATGAGCAGTTCCTAAAAGAGAAAACGATATTTATATTATATTGGTTTGACAATCGGTTTAGAATAACAAAGGGTTGAATCGCCTTTGTTTTTCCATACCTTCTATGTAAATCGTAGGAAGGGCTCGATTTGAAGTCTTTACCAATCCCAGAGCATGCCAGGGATCAATAGAACCGTGCACATACAGCACATTTGTAGTGTTTGGTTTAAGCGCCCCATAATTCTCATTGGTGCCGGATACAACCAGATCTAAGAACTTTGCGTCCATGTTTTTAGAGAACACATCCATGCACTGGCGAATAAAGAAATCCACTCCAAACCGACCACCAAAGGTGTCTGCCGGGTTTGCCGAGGTTTGATAGAAGCCAAACTCGTGACACGTTTGATACGTCCACTGCCTCATTCCTTTGGCCGATTCCGAATCCCACGACACGTTTTTCATATCCGCTACCATCTTCTCGTATTTGTAGTCCAGGCAGGTGGTGTTTGATTCGTTTAAAAGCATGTCATTCACAAGTGACAAACGGTTCACAGGAGCTCCCGCAGTGGTGTTTAGCATCACATCACAGATCTGTAAGTATTACTTATGACTAGTATGATTTAAGAATATCATATATTGTGTAAGACCCCACTTCGTCAATAGTTATGGTGGCGTGAGGACTGTTATCCTTGTTGTATTGAACCACTCCCGCAAAGTTTCCAGCCAGATTCTCAAAGAAATTTGCAATGTCCAAGGCGTTTTCAATGGAATCCTTGATAGGGGTGCAGGTCCTAAAAGTAGAAGGTTTTCACCAAATAAGTATGGTTATCCTTGGAAGCATAGACTATATAACGGCTGTATTTTTAAGTCGAGTTTTGGACTAGGGTTCTGCTGACAGGGTCAGATTACTTACTTAAACTTCTCATCCAGGCTGCGTTGCCCAATCATGTGCTTGAGAAGGATCTCGACCTGGGCAAAGCTGCGGGTCACAGCCTTCACGCACTCGGGTTTGTAGGAGGCGAGCGAGTTTTTGACTACCTCGAAGTACTCCTTAAAGTCTACCATGGCCAATAGGGGCCCACTAGAACTGATGGATCCGTAGATAAGCTGGGGAAACTTCTCTCTGGCCCAGGCAGCCAGTGATCCCGGATAGGAGCCACCGAAGGCGATCCATTTCTGGCCATCGGCCATATTGAACTGCACCTTCATGGCGGTCACAAAGCTGGCCAAATCCTCCAGAGCCTGCTCGGAGCTCAGATAATAAAGATTTTCGGTGGACAGATCCTCAGTGGGATGGCTCTTTCCATAAAACCGATGCTCCAGTTGCAGGCAGAGGGCTCCAAAGTGTTCGGCATAATGGACCCAGGCTCCTTCTCGCATCCACTTGGCGGAAGCCTCTCCTTCGCCGCCAATCATCAGGAATACGGGAGCGGAGCTATCATTTCGGTAGTAGTCTGCGTTCACAAAGTACCGTTGCTGCCAGGTTCTCGTATCACTCGTCTTGAAGTGATCTAATTTCTGCTCGAACCAGAGATCCTCGGATTCCAGGGATCTCTGGAGTGTTGGTATCTTACTGGGCTCCCCAAGGAACCCCTTGGACAGTCTTCCGCGTCGAAATCCAATTCCTGAGATTGGTGCTGTCAGTGCCAGAAGCAGCAATCCCAGTCCCAGGGGTCTTAGAACGCCCCCAATAAAATACATATTTGTCTCCTTTGTTTGCTTGGGTCAAGTGGAAGCTCCAGTATTTCAATAACCAGACGCTGACCACCGTTAAACTGCAAATAGCGACTAATAAGTGGTGGTGGGGTGAGCTATTTATATAGTCACCGTTATGTATGCCACACTGGCCCGATTATTCAGTTCTCGCTATATTCGCAAAGCCGGCTAGAGCAAAATAATAACATTAGGGGGACTCTTGACATTAATGCGAATTAGATTAATGTGCTGCAACATGACTATTAATCAAAATAATAAAAGGAAAATAATTTATGTACATATATATCTTAAATAAATTTAAGAAATTATATATTAAAGTTTATTATATAATTTGCAAATTAATAAAGATTTTGAATTAATTTTGGCTCTGATTCATTTGATATTTTATTACGATGGCGGGTGTATTATAATTTCAGTCAAATTTCAGACGTATATATCAAAAAGCTTCTATAGAAACAATTGGAAAAATAAAATGAATCAAAATATAGCTTCATTGTATTAAATCATGTATATATCGGCTTGCCGAAGTTTGTTACATCTATAATCGTCGGTTATAAAAAAACTTTAAATACTGTTGTGGTATTTCGAAAAGGTTTGAGGTTTGTCTATAGATTTTAAATTATGCTGAACCATTTTTAAATTGATTATTGTTTTACTAGTTTTTATAGCTTTTTTTTCACCGTTTTATTTATTAGCTTCTTTTGGCAGCACTGTTGACTCCGTAACATCAATTTGCTTTCCAAGAACGGTAACACTAATTTAAATTGCGCGACTTTTTGCATATGTTTCTTGCTGATGCATTTGTAATACAATTTTCCTTAAATAATAGTGACCCATTCCCGCGCCATGGACTTTTATAGTAGTACCTATGACCAGAAGTATTTTAACTTTACAGCGGCACAACTTTCAGCGGAGCGTAAGTATTATTTATTTAGTTTAATGTATAGCGATATACAACTTCTTATTGTAGGCGAACACATTGTGCAGGACATCATAAAGAAAGGCATAGGACAGATTATAGACAGGATAAAGACCCCCGCAACAGCGGATTTATTGGAGGCCCAAAAGGAAACCGTGGAGCGTCGTTTCAAAGCATCCGCCTCCAAGGGTCTCAAAGCCCTCAGAGAATTGGACAGGAAGGTGTTCCACGTTCCATCGCATGTACTGCATCCGGAGCATATATTTTTCGAAAACCAGTTTTCTAGCGAGGAAGAGGAGCAGAAATCAGCCAAACTGGAAGAGCTAAAGGCGAAATACCAGGAGGCAAGTCTAATACAAGGGGACAGAAGTGTTTGCAGGCCTAATAGCATTTGAATTTGATAAACTAGGCTTTTATAAATATAGTTTGCTACAATCATTGCGCTTCATCAGCCTTTGTACTTGCAATATATTAAATTTACGAATGTCCATTTTGTAATTCGATTAGTTCATCATCTCTTCATGAATTAAGGCCATCTTAATGTCCGACAATAATTTTCGATTTTTGTTTTTTAAAGGCTTTTTTAAGCTTTATAATTAAAAAAAAACAATTGTATGCGTATATTAATCTAGGTAAAGTAGGTTATTTATAAGATTTGAACATGTTAATCCAAACAACAAAGTAGGTTATTTATAAGATATGAACATGTTAACCCAAGCAACATACCATACCACAAGCCGTAATGAACATTTTGACTATGGCTGATCACATTGTTTAAACCGGAGATATTTTAAGTATTCTTCATCAATGCCTTGCATTTCTGCCACTAGAGAAATCTGAAAGTCGTATATTATCCATTTTACCAATTTGCAAGTGATCATACTTAAATTTTTGGGCTACGATCTTGAGCTATATGAGTTCTACTGTATAAAAAAAATCTAATATGCTCTCATTTGACCCGCTGCAGCAGCATATTTTAGCAACTCCAGTCGATTTTTATAACTCGGTGTCTCTATGTAGAAAGTGTAACTACAAACATTCATTCTATAACACGAAGTCTCCAATTCAAAACATTTTTTGGTATGAAAGTTCGACAGTACCTACACAGGTTTTTTCTCTTGCATCGCACCGAATGAACCTTTTTAGAAATTATAATTTTTTTTGTAGAAGAATGTATAATCACTTAGTAAAATCGTCACAACTTTCTTACCTTGCTAAAAGGTCCTTTGATTTGATTTATAAGAACAGAACTAAAGCCTTTTTAGGCAAATGATTTTTGATGCTCACTACATTTTTATTTATTTTAACACAACAATTTCAGAACATGGCAATGCTGGCGCATCTTAAAATCGAGGAGGACAAATACGCCGCGATGGAGGATCTTATCAAAAAGGAGATGGAAATGCAAGATCGTGTCCACAAAAACTGCTCCTCCCTTAATGTGAGCAAGCTGAAACAATGTTGCTCCCAGGTCTCCGCTCAACTAAAGAAGCCCAGTAAAGACTTACAAAATAAGATTTAAATATTTTGTCGGGTACATTGGAATTTTAACCGGCTTTTAGACAGGTTACAGTTTATTCAGCCCTAACAATTTTTTTCGTAAACATGGCTTACCGAATACTTCAACTGTTACTGTTTATTTAGTTTAAAAATAAAACTTTCATACATTTTTTATCATTTGCTGTGATAAACACAGTTTTGTACATATTGATCTATTTAACTTGAACAATATTATTTCCTCCTTTGTTAGCAACGACAACCAAGCAACTGTCGCTGAATAAAATATTGAATGTCTTGTTTTCAAACAGAAAACAAGCCGGCTTAAAACTTCAAAGCATTTCGCACAAAACCAACACAACCTCCCTTATAAGTTACATGTGGAATCCTATTTTTTACTATAATCCATTCAAAATGGGAGATGCCCAGGAAAGCTGCACACAACTGCATCCGCGTGCGATCTTTGCATCTTTTGTATGTAGGGATTAGAAGAGCAGGCCATTGGAGGCGTGGATGACGGATCATCATCGGTGACATCCACATGGAGGCCTTGTGGTGACTTAATCGAAAATTCAACCTGAATCCGAATAATTCTTTCCTCCATTTGCCAAAAACCCGCCTTCAGGGCTATAACCGGAAATGCATTTACAACCTGGCTGATGCACAATAATCCGCACATTTTATGCAAGTCGGGGATCAGCATTCAGCAAGACGAATATGGTGAAGATCGCATTTAACTGCTCAATTGAGCAAGAAAGAATCTAAAAAACAGTAATAAAAACAAAAGGGTTTTCTTTTTAATTTTTTTACTTTGTACTTATATTTTAATCTTTAAATTACGGTTTTTATTTATAATGCTTTTAATAAATCAATTAATACAACATATCATTAAAACAGTACTGTAAATATTTGATTAATTTTTAATATTAAACGGTGCTATTTTTTTTCTCTGAGTGTAGGCATGAAAACCGGATTTAAAAAGTTATTACTTTTTTAATATATAGTGCAAAGCCAGATCTGATCGACCGTTTAACACCCTATAATTATTAATAAAATTACATCCAACTATGGATATATCGACCAATAACTTTCATTGTTTATACTTCAATATTTAAAAAAAATACGCTTAGTAACCTAGGAAAAGGTTATGAGTGATAAGATTTTGTCATGATAATCAATATAAGCGGTCAGGACAAAACCCGTCATGTGCATTTAAACTATAGCGGATCCCATCGTATGAATAAAAAACCTTCAAGTAAGCTTCGTCGATGTCTTCTACCTGCGAGTAAAATATTGTTTATAAACCGATACCTTCACTTAATAAAATGCTTACATAGATGTTCGGGACATTGAGTCTTTCATGTAGAGAAAATTTTAACGGTTTTTGAAGAGAAGGATTCCGTACAGCTTTCAAAATTGAGTAAATTTTGCTAACAGGGTTTATATCCTCATCCTCCTCCCCTCGGCAGTATTTCCACGTGACGTAATCGAGCTTTTGACAAGATTCAAAAATCGGCAACAGGCTATCTGTATTTATCGGGATTTCAGAATCGTTATCTATACATAATGATTCAAGATCACTTAGTTTTCCTAGGTCTGATAGGTTACTGCAGCATTCGTTGAAAGTAATATTTAGTTTTTTTTTAATGACTTAATTTGCGATATTTTATGAATTCATTACATGTAATTGGTGTCTGCAGTTCTTGTAAATTTGAGTCACTTCTAAGAGCAAAAGCACGGTAAAGTTCACTGAGCGAGTCCTCTGCTGCATAGATGATCAATTCCTTTAGATTTTTTATGTTTGCCAAAACTTCTATACCCGGACTTTCGTCAAATTCGCATTTTAATGACTCCAATGTTTCAAGTTGGGCCAAATATTTACATTCATTTAATCCAATTGAGTTATTGATCCAATTTTTGAAGAGTTGACTGCGATTTATGTACCAAAACCCTAAATAGACTTTCCAAATTATTATAATCATGATCAATTAACAAGTGCTGTAGATTGGGTAATCGGTCTAACATTTGCACACATTCTGAGTCGTGGAATCCCGCACGTAAACTTTTCAGGTTTTTTATTTCAGTTATTTCAGTCATTTCCGAAATGTTAATAGTTTTGGCAGAGTCCCATGGATCAGAAACAATTTCCAGGTGCGCAACCTAGTTGCACTACTTGAGGAAAATGCTGCAAAAAATGTTTGTAGTGATTGGTTTGGATTCTGTCCTATTACAATTAATTCTTCAATACTCCAGTTAGCTAGCTCTGTCAAGGATTGGAAATCCTCACTGTCCGAAAAGCTGCACTTCAGTGTTTTTAGCGACTTTATTCGGGAAACCTGTATAACCTCTTCGGGAAAGAGTTCTCCGGAATATTGAAATCGTTGAATTATATTCCTTTCAGCCAGCTTTGTGAAGAGAGCGGTAAGGCTTCCTTTTCCGGTTAACTTCAAGTCCTGGAGATTATTTAGTTCAGCCAATTTCTCAATTCCAGATAATTCTGATAGCTCGCACGACAGTTTCTTAATGGTTTGAATTTCTGACACTTTTGAAATATATGAAAATTCTATATTATCAATTTTACAAATTTCCAATTCTTCGATCGTACTTAAATTGTTGGTGGCGAATGCTTGGAAGAGTAAATGTAGTTTTTCATTTATTTGATACCCTGAGATCTCGGGGATGTCGCCAAACTTTTTTCCCATATAAATCTTCAATTTTTTTCCATTCTTTCTCAAGGTAAAATCTTTGCAAGCGATGGAAACTTGCTTCTGACTTTCACTTAGTAGGTTGAGGACTTGCTCTGAAGTATGCAAATTAATGGCTTCGGGGACATTAATAATAAGGTGCTGCAGGTTTCTTAATTGACTGAAAAACTTGATTGAGTACCATTCAGACAAATGGCACGCCAGAACTCGATTGGATTCTATTTTTGCAAGTTCTAAGACCTCCAATCTATCTAATGATATATGATTTATTATGATAGATTTCAAAGCGAATGAGCCTTTTGGGACCATTGATTGGAGGAATTCTGCAAGTGGATTGGAATCTTTTAAATTATTATGTTCATTATTTATAACCAAGTGACTTAGATTGGGCAATTTTGATAAAGAACCCATTTGGCTCATGTCCGACTCTTTATGTATCTTTATTTCAAGTTTCGCTTTATTTCTGTCAAACTGAATTGATATTTTGTCACTTAAAGGTATGGTTGCTAAAGATTCCTCAATTGGATTAGCTTCTTTCGATGTTTCACATAAATCGTACGCAGTTGTAATAAATACATTACTTTCATTATATTCTTTTATTTCCAAACGTTGCAAAGAGGCTAAAATGGGACATTTAATGGTCCGACTTTTATCTCCTAAATGATCTTCAATGGTCAAAGCCAAAGGTGGTAGACTTCTAGGTCTGTGCAATTTTCTTAAATCATTGAAAAATATCAATTGTGATTCGCTTTCTTGGACTCCACAAATAATAAATGATTGTAAATTGGGCAGCAATACCATACCACCGATGCATATTGGGCAGCACCGCCACCCGGGCTCAGCTGAATTCTCAGCTCCCTAAGATTTTCGCAATGGAGTTCGATACCGGAAAGACTCCCATGGATTTCAGTGCCTTTAAAGTGCAAGTCTATCAAATTTGGCATTAAGGTGCAGATGTTTGCTAACGCTTCTGCCGTAACATTAGCATTTAACTTTACACCCTTAATGACCTGAGAGTTTGGGTTGCCTTAAAAAGAAATAAGTTTAAAATTTATTGATAAAAGCCAATCAATGGGTCTTACCATCATACTGCTCTGCTGTAGATTTAAATAAAACAAGAGAGGAAGCAAACTTCGGCAAGCCGAAGTTTATATACCCTTGCAAATCTACAACATTTCCATTTCTATGCCTATATTACTTTGGACTGCATTCTATGGCAGCTATATATTGTTAGATATTGTTGTACGATGTTAATTTAATTAAAACCGTAATTCCATAGTATTGAAATATTACCAAACCCCAAAAAATAAACAAAAAATAATTAAAAACAACAAAGATATAATTTTTTTGAATTCTTTTTTCAAATTTTTCCTATGGGAGCTATATGATATAGTCGCCCGATCCGGCTCGTTCCGACTTATATACTACCTGCAATAGAAAGACAACTTTTGGGAAAGTTTCAAGCAGATAGCTTTAAAACTGACTAGTTTGCGTAGAAACGGACAGACGGACATGGCTAGATCGAATTTATATACTTTATAGGGTCGGAAATGTCTCCTTCACTGCGTTGCAAACTTTTGACTGAAATTATAATACCCTCTGCAAGGGTATAAAGATAATATCATTTTAATAAATTTGATTATTTAATTTTTTAAGATTTATTGTTATTTCAAATCTATATTAAGTTAATAACTTACTTATTTCGTAAATATAAACGGTGGCATCATGCTCTTCGAGTGTACTGTTAAAATATAGTTTAACAAAGAAAGGTTTCTTTTCTCTGATAGATTGTAGGAAAGATAACCAGAAAACTTCATTTCTGTTTGATAACTCATTGACTTGTAAATCAATCAGTAGCTTTGTTATCCTGCACGTCAAAACCAAATCAAGATCCTCGTACAAACTTTTGAAACAAGTCTCAAGGAGTTCCAGGAATATTTCATGGGCCAACACAAAGTTTATTAAATCATCATACTTTAAATGTTTGTCACGTTGGTCTTTTAACTCGCAATCAGCTTTAACGTAATTCATTATCTCCCAGAGGCAGTCGCGGTTCGCCATTCTCGTCCATTTCTTAGGCTGATTACTTAATACCCAATGATTCGGATGAGCTTTTTGAGTTCAGAAGATGTTTATTTTTTAATTGATTAAGCAGATAAATTTATAGCTAAATAATCTTTATAGGTGAATTGTAATTTTATTTCAGCTGTTGATGAGACTTTATTGCTGTAAACCACGATATTTAAGCCACTATGTTTGAACAATCACAAAACTAAAAAATGTTGAATAATTTTAGAGATTATTTTTAAAGAGACTTGCAAAATAATTTTTATTACTTCTGAGCCGCTGTTAAAAGTTAACTGTTTCGGGCTTCGATCTTGAGCTAAATGAGTTCGAGGCTAGCATTTCTCAGATAAGAGTATGAAAATACACATACACTTACACTTATCATACATTGTGACGCATGCCCAAATT